ACCCCTTGTTTGTCTCCCATTATTGGGAAAAATTAGTGTAATGATTAATATTTTTTGGAGGATGTGGAGGTGAAAATTAATGTAACTTTATTGATTTAAGTGTATAATATTTTATTAGGTGAATGTGTGGTGAAAAATCTTAATGTAGCAAACAATTTTTTGGAATAATGGTAGACAAACGGGGGCTTAATATACCCACTCCAAGTTTGAGTGAATTCTTTTTAGTATTTATATGTGATATAGCATGTTTAGTAAGAAAAAATGACTTCAAAATAACTCACAAGTCAAGGCCAACCTAACAATCAAGATTAAGCACATGATTATGTCATCTGTGAGCAATAATATCCTTCCAGGAAGGAGGTTGGAAAGCACTTTATTTTTGAGTTAAGATTGACCTTTGAAAACCTAAATACATTGCAATCGATACAAAAAGTTCCGATTGAAGATTCACCGATTTTAGGACATGTTTTAATTAGTGGATTTGAAGGTTGATGTGCCTGTATTCGGCTTGATTTTATTGGTTCAATCGGCCGAGCATGATCGATTTTGATAACATTGAAAAAAGATACTAACTGTTGTGAGTACTCGATCAAGAATTTGAAAGAATTCGTTGATGGAAAATGGATCTTGGGTCTTCTCTCTTATATTTTTACCTAGGGTGGGCATATGAACTGAGGAAGGGTCGGATTTCAATGATAAAATACCTATAAATACAAATTAAATATATAACAAATGGTATCATGTAAGCTTATAGAACTCTCTCTCAGGGGAACAAATAACATTGAAGAAACCACAAATAATATTCTTAACAAAATGCTAATTGAAAAAGTTGTAAGTATTTACCTGAATTGTTTCAGATTAGATGGTTGCAGTTGAGTCAAATTAGTAATGATGACTACAAATCTCCTCCAATTGAGCCTATCACTCAAAACAATTCAGGATCAAAGGTGAGAGGTTGATCTAGAGTAAAACAAAAATTAATAATTATTTAATTAATGAAACATTTAACGATCATATAATAATAATAATAATATGAATGA